GCACGAGTGTTGGACGTCGATTGGCTTTCAGGCTCTCGCCATCTGCACCCGGTGCAACGTCACTTGTCCACCGGGATCGCGACAGGGTGCTACCGGCCATCTCGCAGGTGCGAGATGTTCTCGTTCTGCCTGAACCAGGAATCGCTACCCCCGCCCCTCTTCGCCGAGGGGGTAGCAGCGGGGGGGGGCTTCCCATTCCCCGTTATCGCCGCTGCCAAACACAACCGTTACGATAAAAAGGCACCTTGGCTTCCTCTCCGTCAGGGCTAGACAGGGACACCGGATCGCCGCAGTCGCTGCCCCGTGCCACCGCCGGGCTGAGGGGAAGGCTGAACACGCAGCCGGAGGCGAGGCCGCACTCCTCCACCAGCTCTCGGGCATGGCCGGGGCCGAAGGGGCGGTGGCGCTCGCCGTTACTGCACTCGAAGTACGCCATGTTCTCCACCACCGAAAGGACCGGTACCTTGTGCATGGCCAGTTCGGAAGTTTTTTGCAGGGTTGGGTTAACCTCAGGGCAAAGATAGTTGCAAGTGACCAGCAAGCGGGATGAACATCGAAACAAATGTGGATGCTCGCGTACATGTGCATGGTGTTGAGGTAGAAAGGGGATCACGTTGGGGCATTGTCCTTCACCGCGGACAAGGCTGGCACCTATGTTCCGTCAAACATTGATCCCTATTCGAAAGGCTGGAACGTTGTTGAAGTGTGGCATACGATGTACTTGTCTCTGGCTCTTTGCTAACACCGCCTTGCTCCACAGCCTGTTGGTAACGGCGGTCAAGTTGCAGTGGGCCATGAGTCTCAGAGACCGACATACAGACACCGGTTCAAAATCATGCCAGATATTTCTCCCAGACGCGCGACGGATCGGGCAAATCGAAGGGATTCATTGTTCACGATCGGCACACCTAGAAACATCAAGTAATCGTTAAGCCTGCTGTATCTCCACGGGATTCTTCCGGTGGTAAGTGAGTGGAGGACCCATAAGACACACCTTTATTTCTGCGAACATGTCAATGCCCTTCACCACGTCCACGTAGCTCAGCTTTTGAGGGGTGGTCACTACCACCGCCCCGCTCATCTGCAACGCCTGTCCCAGCGTGATCTGGATATCACCAGTCCCTGTTGCAGAAGAAGCAAGGACAAAAACACCAGAGAACAAGGACAGGTGAAAATCGGACGGTGTCAGCGAAGAGGCCGAGGAAAGACGACCAGCTCTGGAGGTGACAACCGCCCCCACCCAAATACATGTACACACACATGGGGCAGCAAAGCGATCATTGAGTTGAAGGCAACTTCGCCGGGATAGGCAGCTTTTGCACCCCCACATGAAAGCGCCCCACTCCGGCCGCGGTTGCTCCCCCCGTGAAATTACCTGGAGGCATGTCGATGATGAGGTACTCCAGCTCTCCCCAGTCGGTCCCGAGCAAAAGCTGATTTATTACCTGGACAAAAAACAACAGATATCAAGCACAGGCGCTGAGGTACCGCCAGATTTTCGTCAAACTGCATACACGAAACGCGCGGAGGGCGATGGGTGGTGGGAACAGTGCGGGGACCCGTGCACGAAGAAGATAGCACCTGTGATACTCGCGGCGCAATGAAATCAGTACCCTATGACATCAAGCTCGAAAGGCTTGTCTCAGATGCGGGATACAATCAGTTGTAAAATCCCCCGCTTCCGAAACGCTGTGCCAATTGAGCCACCACACCGCTTGCGAAAACAAATTGACGATGTCGCCAACGCGCGCGCCATTCCCGCAGTTGGTACAAATCATGGTTTACTTCGGAAGGGAGAAACGATGTGTGGCCGAAATGAAGCATGACGCAGCGATTCTTCAAAAATGTACCCTCCCACAAGCTGTCATGGGCACCGACCTTCACCGGCTGCTGCCGGGCTGAGGTATGCAAGACCGCATCGAGTTGAGCGACGAAACATGAACCACGAGAGTCTAGTAACCTGGGTGCCGTGCTTGACATACGGTTGGCCATGGCGACCACGATCGACATGACTTCCTGCCCGCACTACCTCAGCACCGGGGCGATCCGCTGGCGTAGGGCACGCGTGAAACACGTCCAAGGTCGTGGTACACGCCACCGTTCATCGTAGTTGAGCGTGTTGAGGGGTCTCGAGATGCAACGACACCGACATTTTTCCTGCTTGGAAACGCTGCAAGTGCCACGCGTAATATGGCTAGTAAGTCCTTCGACGATTCGTCGATAAGAAAATGCAAACTGGAGCGGCCCCAAGGGGGATTCGAACAATTACTCAGGACAAGCACATACAGTTTTTATGGCAAGGGTTTGCGGACCTTCGACACCATGGGTCCCCTCATGACCGCAGCCCCATGTCCACCGGCGCCAGGAACTCCCGCCTTGGCGTTGACCCACCCAAAGCTCATGCACGCCACCCCACGGTGGACAACCGGCGAGAGAAGATTGAGGTCCGGAAAGGCGGGGCTCACTCGAAGAGCGACATCTTCGGGCTGTCCGTGTCAAAAACATTTGTTGAGTGGCAAGAAAACACGGCCAGCAACGCGGGCAGAGGAGCGGGTGTGAATCTAGGGCGACGGGGACGCGCAGAAGTTTCGAGCGGTGCACAACGGCGTGTGTCGGTTTACCCGGGTGAATAGCAACTACCGGATCGGCTCAAACGCGTGGTGAAATAACCTTAATATGTGCAGCAGTTGACTGTCCGAGAAGTTCTTGCGTATGCCAGTAGACAACAAAGCAGTTGAATCATCCACAGCTTCCTGAAACATGAGCGCAAGCGATGCTGACAACCCGGCCCGCAGCATTACATGCGGTGCCTATTTTGAACGCAACTTCTACTGCTTCGGCTCACATTGACAAGGGTGGGCAGACTCGGGCCGTACACATCGGCGTCAAGGAGGCCGACCTTGGCCCCCCTCGACGCCAGCGAGTACGCCAGGTTCACCGCCACCGTGCTCTTGCCCACCCCTCCCTTGCAGCTGCTCACGCACACCACGTCCTGCACCGACTCGAGCCCCGGGGACGGCGCTCCTCCCCCTCCCCCTCCTCCTCCACCGCCAGGTGTTATCTCTGTCCCGACACTACGATTGAGTACGGAACCCGGTGTGCTACGCCGCTGGACCGTCCGTCTCCACCTCGGTCTACGGACCTTGGTCAGCGCGTTGGCAGAGGCTACCCAGGGAAGGGCGAGCAGGGCGGCCTCGCACTCCGAGGCGAGAGTGTCGCGCCCGGGCAAGGCGAGCGTCGGCACTCGGAGCGTGAAGCTTATTGCCAACGGCCCTTCCGCGCTGTCCTCGCCGGTTTTGTCTTGTGGTTGCTCCCCATGAACGACCTCTGGGAACGCGAGGAAATGGATGGCCAGAGGGGGAAGGCAAGAGAGAACCACATGGGAACACAAGCTTGCTGGTGAGACGTTGCTGTGCATCCAACTTCACCACAGCAACGCCCTAAAGCAGTGCATCTTGGCGTTCTACATGAACACAAGTACTCGTCTCCTTTTTCACAAGCGCACGACTGCAAACTACAGTAGCCTACCCGAAGACGATGGATATGTCTTATGTTTGGGATTGCACCAGACTTAACACGAGGAGCTTCGATCTGCAAAGCGGTGCCTAAAACAAGGTTTGCATCCAGGCCAACAGGGGTAGCTTGCACAGCGCCACCGCTGTCAAGCATGGCCACAAGTCATGACTACCGCAGAGGTACGTCTTAGCGTTCATCAACGTCTACTGCTCTCGCACGGCTCACCGTCGATGCGCACATCCTGCACGAAGCCGAGCTCCACCACATCCTTGCTCGTGCATGGCTCAACAACACCCGAGAGGATCGCCAGCACCTCTTCCTCCTTCTGTTGCCGCCAACGACGCGCCACTTCTGCCTCCGGGCTGCTGTTGGGGCCCCCCGACTTGCCTTGACCCCAACCGCTCCACAGAGACATGTGCCTTCTCCTCGGCCACTGCCGCGCACTGCCACCGTTCCTGTTGTGCGCGACGTGCCAGTTGGCGTCCGCGGCGAGACTGGGAACGGGAGAGGCGCAGAAAAACCGTCGTGATTGTAAGGTCTGGGGAGACAGCGTGCTTGTCGTTTCTGATGCTGCTGCCGTCAGACGTCCTTGGGCCGAAGCTCGGGCCACCTTGATGCCCCTGCGACTTGTGCTGCAACTTGTGGGCTTGTTACGTCGGACGGAGACATCGACCACATACCTCGCCCACTCTCTCCCAGCAAGTGGGTGCAACCTACATGCACGTGGTAGAGCTGGCATTAGGTGGTTGCCAGGCGAAAGGTCAATGTGCGCAGGGGGCCTTATCCTCAAGAGAGAGGCGGCGCAATTACTGTAGGGTTGACGGCGTGTTCTCCGGAGATGTTACGGTCCAGGGGGCCCTGGCGCCTGCTTCGCTCGCTGATTGTTAACAGCTAAGAGATCTCTCTTTCTCGTGCTCTCTCTCTCTTATGTGCAATCCAGGTTTGTAGATTCTGGGAGCAGAACGAGGAGGGTTCCATTCTGCGAGTCTGACCTAGCAGTCTGTGCCGAAGTGCGCGAGCGAGAGAGATGCTTAATCCATTCAAATTTCAAATTCCCCGCCCCCGACATGTTTGGCTTACTAGACTACATGCCCTGATACATGCTGTAGTTCGTCTTGTGGCCTGGTCCCGGGGGGCTGGTTCACCCTACCCTTGCGATGATTCCAGTGAAAACTGAGCAGGCGGGAGGGAGGTTCATGTCTTGCGCATTCAGTCTGAAAAGTGTACACATCAGAATTACAGAAGAACATCAGCAGTAGTTACGGACGAACTGGCTCTCACTGCTGTCTCTCTCGGGTGATACAAGAGCTGGCTCCCTGTATCTCTCTCGACTTTAAACGCATACAGTAGTCCATTCTCGGAATAAGAAACAGTAAATCCCCATGAAAGAGCCGTTGTCGCGCTGCATTTCCGTTTCTCTTCTTGCCTTCGTTCGTGTCTCCCGCCACCTCACTGCCCCCAGGAACGACCACGGCTGGTGGGGAATGACTGGCATCACGGACGCCCTCCACGATGCGAGGGCCGCGGTCGGCTTGAACCCAGTGGAAAGCCCCGAGGAGACATGCCGCCCGATCCCTCGGCCTTGTTCTGCATGGCAACAGCGCCAGGCGCTCGTCCCGAATGTGGAAGTACGCAAAACCTTTGAGCCAGGCGATGTCACCGCTGCTGCAACAAGCATGTCGCCTCGAGCTGCTTGGGCACTGTTGCTGCCCATCACTTCTTTCGGCATCGGCGGACAGGATAACGCTAAGTGCATGAGCATGCTTGGGCGGTTCAAAGGCTCGCTGTTGAGCACCACTACTGCGGATGACCGCAGCGCTATCTCCATTTGCGTCGCCATTGATGAGGACGACCCCGTCTACACAATGACAAAGGTGGTTGGGTTCTTCAACGGTTGCGGTTTGGCAAGGTGGAAAAGTTTGCACGATTTGGAACCTTCTGGCGGCCAAAGCTGTCGAACACTGCAAGGCTGACTTCCTAGTCCTCGTGGGAGACGATGTTGAGTTGGAGACCCCAGGGTGAAAGGGCGAGGTCGAGGCCTTCATGCGCGACGTGTCTGAGACTGCCGGGCTGCCTCTGGGGATGGCGTCCATGGCGTTTCGTGACCTGACCATACCTGCGTTTTCGAGCTTTCCAGCATCCACCGCCGTGACGTGGAGGTTTTCGGAGCTGTATTGCCTCCGGAATTCGTAAACCAAGATGGTGACCCATTCCTCTTCTAGCTGTATCGTCGTTTTGGTGCCTCCGCTTTCGCGGACAGCGCTTCCCTGAAGAACCTCGGCAAAGAAGAAGCTCGGTACCCGAAGGTTGGAGTCCGCTGGCAAGCGGCCATTCTCACGAGGGAGATCGGGCGATTTTCAAGGCTGGTGCGGCCCACTGGACTTTGTTTGAGGTCCTTGGGGGTAGTGGTGCCTACTTTTAGGTGCGAAGTTTCCATGCTCCGCGAGATTGTTTCGCTCGAGTCAACCGCGTACCCTAACGTGTCTGTGCAAATCATCGTGGTGGTGGATTGCCCTGTACCACCAGGGTTGAAGAAGTCAACGCTTTGACATCCTACGCAAAGCATCACGTCGTGCGAATCTTCATCAACAAGGAGAACCTTGGGGCAAGCAAGAGTCGCAACATCGGACTGTCGCAGGCGTTTTCGGACCACGTCTTACTGCTGGATGACGATGTAGTGCCTGAACGCCACATTCTGCATGCCTACCGCGGCGGCATCGATCGGTTCCCGTAAGCGCGCGTGTGGGCTGGAATTACTCGTTTCCCTCCTGCCGATACCGTTGTCGAACATGCGGTGCGCGCATCGAACCTGTGCCACTTCTACAGGATCGCGAAAGTCGTCGCCTACCCGCCTTGGGGCGTCACAGCCAATCCGTGCGTGAGCGGACGATCGGGAGACATCTGGTTTAGCCCAGCGTACCCCAAAACTGGAGACGGCGAGGACGTAGACTTCTGCTTGAAGACGAGCCAGAGGTATGGGCGTGATGCTATTGTGGCGGTGCCGGGAGCTGCGGCGACGCTCTCTTGCTGGGCCAACCCCATTCGCCAGGTGTGGGGATGGGCCCGAGGCGACGCCCGCTGTGTCAGCTTTCATCGGCACTCCACGATTTTTTGCGCCACCATCGTCTTGATTTGGTTGGTGTTCGGCGTCGCAAATATCTGGAGCGTAAGGAAGTGTCTCACGGCCTCCGGCGTTGTTGAAACGTTGGAGTTCTTGGAGGGATTGGCCCACGTCTACCGGGGGACCACCGGGGCCGAGCCCTGGTCTGCGGTGCTCCTCGCCCCGATGCCGAGCATGGTGCAGGCCTGATGCCGAGCATGGTGCAGAATGTAGCTCGACGTGTCACCAAGCTGGCGCAGGGCAATCTGTACCAGCTCCTATTGCCCTTCGACTGGATGGATGGGAAGGAGGGGCACAAATGGCGGAAGGCTTCAAGGGTGCTCCACGCTGCCAAGCTTGCCACAAACCTCCTGATCGTCGTTGGCGCGGCGCTCGGATACGGCCTGCACCGCTCCCTCGCGGTCGTTGTAGGGCTAGTCATGTTCTTCAGATGGCAGCCTCGGTGCTAAGAGAAAGGCTGCCAATCAGAGGGCGCCGGCCCGATTAGTCGTGCTAGCGTGGCAGCGTACCGGGAGAAACTTGCTGTGTGGTCTGCTGCACAATCACTCGGGTGTCTTCATACACAACGAAATCTTCCACAACCGCGCAATTCACACCTTTCACCAAGACCGCCTGGAGAAGTGGGGATGGGCGGTGGCCCACCGCGATGCCGACACGAGACGGTTCATCTCTGAGGTCTGGACGCGTTCGGACAGACCGGACCAAGCGATCGGATCCAAGCTCTTTCCCGAGCACATCTACCGCGACCCGGACACCATGGCCCCTCTGCTCGCCGACCACACCGCCAAGAAGATCGTCCTGCGCCGCGGCAACGCGGTGGGTGCGTACGTTTCCCAGCGTCGCGCACTGTTGACGGGGCAGTTTCTCCAGGTGCAGCAGCCCGGTAATGTCTCCATCCGCATTGACCCGGATGAGCTGCAGGACCACCTCGCCAACTACAAGAGCTGCTACGCCATCTACCCCCGTCTTCTGGCGGGACAGGCGTTCCACGAGGTGTTGCACGCAGACTTGTGCGGCAGCGCGAGGGGCAGCACCTTCCGAGGCATCGCCGACTTCTTGGGGGCTAGATGCTCGCGTCCCCGCCCCCTCGCGCAGACGGCGAGGCAGGCGCCAGCCTCCGTCAGCAACCGGGAAGAACAAGCGCGGGCGTTCCGCCATGCAGTCTACACAGGGGAAGTCGGTGCGTACCCGTTTGTCTGTGGAGGGATGCTACAATAGGGGGTACCCCCTCGGTCACATGGAGTGTTTTGGCGGACTGGTGTGTACTGCCTCAACCAATGGAAAAACGCTTATTGTTTTGCACACTGCGAGATATACGCCAAGCGGCTGCCTGGGCAGAATTGATTTCCTTGAAATGCAAAAATTGAGAGAGTTACACGAGCATTTATATGGACCTTGTCGGGCGACAGCATGTGACCCATGTCTTAAAAAGTGTCCCCCCTACCGTAGCATTGCTCTGTGTACGTCTTGCACAACGGGAGAATAGTGATGCTGACCCATTGCGACTATTTCGTAAAAAAAATTAGATTGGGCTAAACCACATCCGGTGAGAACCTTCATCCACATGAGCTTCGGGGTGACTCATCGGCCGGCGGTATCATTGTTTTGGAATGCGTTCCGTGTCTCTGTCGTTTCCAACTATGTTTTGGCGGAAGGGCTACTCACCAGCCCAACTGATACTGCTGCAGCAGCCAGTGCGACAGGATACCAAGAGGAGCAGCAGGAGCAGCAGGAGCAGCAAGAGCAGCAGCAGAGCACGAAAAAGAGAGGAGAACCGAAAGGCGCGTTTGCAATGGCAAGGTGTGTCGATAGAAATAACGGCACAACCATCGAGTATCGTCTTTGTCATTTTTGTTCATTATTCAGAGCATCCAACGAGTCATTGATGGTACAGCACAATGGTCTTGCCGCAGGGAGCGATGTTTCTCTTCAGGGGGGCTGCGAAACGCTCGCATTAGATCGGACCCGGGTTGACGGACTGTGCATGTATGAGGCGAAAAAGACAAAACATTTAGAGTAGATTCCTTCTCTGTGCATACACCGACAGGAAACACGGGACTTACTGTAGAGAGCAACATTTTCGCACCGTTGGTCTGCGTGTTGTTGTCCACGTCGTCGTCGCCGTTGCTTTTTCCATTTTGCCCACGAGGTCAATTTTCTTTTGATGCTGTCATAGCACCAAATTTTGCTTCGTGCTTTATCGTGAGTGGTTCGACGTGACGACCACAACGGGACGAGGTGTACAAGGCTGGTTAGCAGCGTTGTCGTTTCCGCCCTCACCTATTGGCCCTTTATCGCGTTTCTGTTGCACCCATCACTCGTAGGGTCGAGAACAAGCGCAGCGAGAAGTAGCTGAACCGGACCTATCACACGGCAGGACAGCACGGCAGCAGGGCAGTCGGGCGTTCACGTTCGTCAGTTATTTTGAGTTGCTGCTCTGGCGAAGAAAGACCTCCGGTCTGGGTGCTGGCCACAAAGGTATCACTTGCTTAATGTTTGAGGGCTGGCTCTCGTCGGATGTGACGGGGAATCCAACGAGCTTACACATTTCGGGTCTTCGTGCCCACTTGGTGCCCCCAGTTTGCAACATTTTGCGCTTTTCGAAGCCAACAGTATCACGACACTGTCGGTGCAGTGAGTTCGCCAGGGATCGGCTTCTGCTTTGAAGGTCATGGCACAGACAATGGCGGACGGAGGTTTGCTCTTTCTCAAATTGTTAGGAATGCCACCAAATACGTGTGAGTCCTACCGTTGTCGGCATGATGCCTACAACTGCAGCATTCACAATCGTTTGATGACATGCTTGCACATTGAAAAATTCAAAGGGTTTGCTTGCCCTATCTCTGGTCATCGTTGTTGGTCGCTCGGGTCTTGGCCGTTGCTGTGGTTCTTGGGGACCGGCCATTCAGCACCCGTATTCTTTGTACGATGGAATGCTTGCACACGGGGTAGGGGTGAAATTCGACGTGCAGGGGTACGAGGGGGCGAGCGGGGCACCACTGCTGACAAGGAGGGGTTACATAATATGTTGCTACCACTGAAGGAGTGGGAAGAAATTCGCGGCGGTATTGAAAAACAACCGCCGAGGAAACCTACTGTTGCATACGAACGATGCCGTATCTATTTTTCTATTCTCTTGCAAGTGAGGACTTCGTGCAGGGGAGAGGCATACCACTATCATACGGTAAAGACTACGGGTAGTAGACTAGAAATAACCAGACATCGGACTTCGGGTTATTGAAAGGGTGAATGTGGGCAGGTGTTGAAAGGTGCTTGTGTGTTTTCCTTGCCACCGTTTGAAGGTATTTCCCTTCATCCCGCTGTACAGAGGTGGGGAGGGACTTCGTACGCATCCCAGCACGATCGGCATTGGTGTGAACGTTTTCGAGTTTGGCATGTGTTGATTGAACTGATGGTTTCTGCCTCTTCGGTTACTGCTCATGCCGAGCATTTTCCCCTCCGTTGTTGTCCGGGCCACTAGAGAAGTCATGCTGTGTGACAGGTGGCCCTTGGTGGGAAATCGTCACTTCTGAGTGAGTATCAATTGTTGTCCTGTCTTCGTTTTGAGCCGCCTCGGGATGCGATTTCCAGGTATCAATCCCACAGGGCACATCAACACCGAGCACATGACCTGTTGCCAACCCGGAAGAATGAAGAATCAGAGCAACGTTTATTTGCGCCTCACGCTTCCAAGCTTCGCTCTGTTACGTCATGTGAGACATATATCTTGTGGAATGGATTCGTAGCCATTGAGCAAATGAAGCCTCCCTCCCATGACGTACATAGCTGAATCAAGAATCAGCGAGCAAGACACCGAAGAAAAGCGCGAAAAGCTAGAGGATCGCCCTGAGCAGCACGAGGAGCAGCAAGCGGTTTTGGCGGGTACCATAAACGTCTGGGAATACAATAGAAGTATGTAACATGCGTTCCAAATATTCGGGCGACAACGCCTACACGACGAGGATCTATTCTTGCTGGTGACGCCGAGCATTTCATACTCCGTGCTCCGTCCGCAACGTTTCGTTCTCGTTCGTCTCTACCACCTAATACCACGCCCCCTTTCCCACCACGGTGTTTCACCTACGAATTGAGGGCAGCGAGGAGCTTGACGCCCAAAGGGCTGAAGAACTTAGCTCTACGCCCTGAAGCCCCGTTCGAGTTACCATCGACCACCTCAAAGCAAACATATACGTGGTGATGCCCACAGAACGAACGCCACCGAGTACGTGAGCACCCACCGCTTTCCTACAACATATGTAGAACCACTCACATGTATTCAACACTCCAAAGCACACGGCAGACATCCTGGTATTAGACTGGACATAAAGATCTCAACAAGATGTCTTCCTCATTATTGCGGAACGCTTTGAAATTTTACCATTGTAGACTATTGTACGCAGTCCGGGGGGGAGACGATGGCGAGCTCTGCTCATGATGAGAAGTTCCGTGTGTCGTTTTGTGCGCTCTCGTAGGCCGCCCGAGCTGCTGCCACGCTCTGAGTTTCCCGCTCGACCGCGGCCGTGGCGGCTTCGAGCGCTCTGCGGGCGACCTCGCGGTGCCTGTTAGCAGTCGCGAGTCTCCCGTCCGCGTCTTTCAGTGCTTTTTTTGCCTTTTTTACCTCGTTCTTGAACTTGCTCTTTTGTTGTGCCTGAGGAGATAAGCGCGTAACGAAAACGATCCCCCCAAGGCTATGGTAAGTGACTTCTGCGCCGATGACACATCGAGATGCTATCATCACGGCATCATCATGTTAGATTCCTGCCAAGCATAACATAACACCGCAAGGAGGAGCAGAGTGAATGCGGACTTGCGACCCTTGGACGCTAATCATCGTCCCCTTTTTTCGTGCCGTGGCCCCTTGCTTGAGATCATCCGCTTGAGATCATAAGCAAGCTTTTGCCGTGATTGATGCGAGAACGAACGACGACGACGACGACGACGATGGTCGCCACGGTCACCACGGCAACTTATTACAGCAAGACACGACTGATAGAGAGACCATTGCACACACAAAATTGGGCACTTGCTTTGCACGGGAACCAACACGGACGAGTCTCGGTGTACTTTTCATGCAATCCGATCCTCTCGGTGGAATTAAACCCCCCTCGCGACTGTTGATGCAATCCGATCCCCTCGGCGGAATTACTGCGTGTCTCTTCATCAGTGAAAGGTAAACTACGCGGGCTGCAGCAAGCCCGTCCTGGGCGTTACTTGGGGCACTGGGTAGTCGGCCGTGTTAGGCCGAGCGAGAGAGGTGGTGAGAGAGGTGGAGAGAGAGAAAGAGTGGGAGAAGGAGACTTGATTGGAGAGAGAGGGCGGTGGCGGTGGAGAGAGAGAAGGAAGAAGTGCGCAGCACGCACGCAACCTATGGTTCATGACCCTCAGTATATATTCTAAGTCATGGACCATAGCACGCAAGCCTCATCGTAACAACCGCGCCAGAAGGGTCCCCGTGACTGCACTGGTGGTACCCTACAACACACGAAATTCCCAACATGTATCCCCTTGGGGATCCTCACGACCAAACAAATACCGCTGCGAGTACAAGTCTATACAGCATCCAACAATCAGGGTTCTATTTTTTCACGGTTCTTGGCGAAAGTACTCTAATTACCGGAACGCCCGTGAGCCTTCTCCCACCTTTCGCGCTTGTTCTTGAGAACCGTATGAGCCATCTCCAAGGCTTTCGAGGCTACACCTTCTTCGGTGTTGTCAACAAAGACCTGTTGCTGGTTCGAAGGCCTGTTGGGGCTCTTCTTGTCGACGAGAGTTGTGATCAGCAGCACCTCTCCGCGGCTGTTGTTTGGTCTCCACTTGTGCTGTATGACGTGTTTACGGCCTCCCAGCCAAAGCATGCGCTCGCACTTGCCTGGCTTTGACACAGCTGCCGCTGGCCCAGCTTCGGCTGCACTCATGTTTGAGCCCGCGCGCACCTCAGTTTTTTTCTGATAAACTTTCTGAGTGGCTCTACCCTACTTAACAATCGGCCAAGCGGAATCGATTGCCGAGGTGTAGTCTATCAATAGACTATGAAATCCACATCGGTCGGGAATCGGCGAAAAATATTTTGAAGGGGTTCGCGAACCAATTTTTATCGTACTTTTTGTAGCCCTTCGTTGGGTGGTTCTGAAAGCGATAGAAAATAACGGTTTTGAAAAATATCTTTTTTTGAGCTGCGCCGGGCGTATGTGGGCGTATGCGCATCAGTTGCGGATGGCGCCTATAGTGGTACGACGCATGAGCGCGCGGATCGATTGATTTTCGCGAGAGGTTTAGCGTGTGTGGTGGCACAAAAGGCATCCGATAGTAGTTTCGGGTTCGGCATGGCGCTACGGTATAGTCTGTGTGTTAGCTTCGGTTCATAGACTAAGGCCGGGGGGGGACCCAGGACGAAGCTTGGGTAGGTTCTTGTACGAGGAAAGGAGGCCTAGACTAATCCAAACAAATCCAAGGCACATCATGTATTATTCAACACAAGGGCGAGAATAGGTGAACGGAATTTCGCCGAACATGTATGTAGGCCGTCCGTTCGACCTCCAATAGATTGTGGCTGTCTCCATCAGCAGATCGGAGCGTTGAAAGTGAAGGAATGTAGGCAAGAGGAATATTTATGTCGTCGCAGAGAACGATGTAGAAAAGCTACCTCCACAGCAGCAGTTGGGTAAACCGGCTGTGCAGTTTGGTCTAGGCGACCGTAGTACAGTCCAAGCCTTGCCTAAGCACCCATACCTACGTAGTTTGTGCTCACCTACCAAATAATCGTGTTCGCAGCAAGTACAGTGGTATTGCTGGTTCTTGGTGCTGTAGGTGGACGAGATGGTAGGTCGTTGATTGGCGTACAGAAAGGAACTGCTGCAGATTTGTATCTGTATGTATAGCGTATGTCAACGCTTCGGGAAGAAGAGTGAAAGTGTGTCGTTTCCCATGAAAGGTTGGGAGGAGCGGAGTGACTGATTACTGCTTCATAAAAGGGTACTGTTTTTCAGAATGAAGTTTCGAGGTACGCAGTTTTGGCTTCGTGGTATGCAGTTTCCTGATTGGTCAATCAACCAGCGCCGGAACTTCAGTCAAAGGCACGGCTGAAATTCCGGGCAAACGGTGGCGTCTTCACCGTCACATACGGCAGAATGGGAATCGACGGCAGATGACTTCTTGAGATAGTAAAAAGGGAGAACGAGGGGGATCCATCCGCCGGCCGATCCCCGTAGTCTTGGTTGAAAATGAAGGATTGTCCTCATCTAGGCTATGCGGAACTCTGGCAACCTCTCTCCCATCACCATAAATATCCACGTTGGCATTCCACAACGTTTTATTAACCTTACTCGATTGAGCTCCCGCCGTGTCGCCTGTTCGTCTTGTATGGACATAGAGTGAGCGGTGGAATTTCCGTGTTGAAGGAGTGGGAGGATAGACTCCGTGTACGCTGGGGGAGACACACCCCAACCACTGTCTATGCCCCGACGAACGGTTGTTGGTTGCGTGACACTCTTCCAGCTGGCGTTCAGTGCCACTTAATGCAGTTGCTCTGTGCTCCCCTGGTTGTAGTTATTCTCTCACGGTTCAAGTCGAGATCGATTACCAGGTAATTCAGGCTAGACACCATGTCTTCCAACCCCTCCCCAACAAAACAAAACGAAAACATCAATAACAAACACCAAACAAATGTAATGGCGCTCCGTAGCACACCAAACAAAGGACTTCTGCTCCGATCTCGGCCAATATTTGTGCACCACGCGCAAACCACAAATGTTCTGCCGCCGGACTGAAGCTCCGCTACAAACATGCGCCCTCTTCGTAATGGAAGCTCATCTTGGACTAGCCTCGGACAGAGGAAAGAATGTTTTTAGCCTCGAAGAGCACGAAGGGAGAAAGGTTCAGGATCGACGTCACAACTACGCCACGATGTCAAATCAACCGATGACAACAACAGCAAAAAGCCAAACAATACAGAGCTCGCGACCTGGGGCACCCACTCAGACGAGGATGCAGAGTCAACCGCATGCCGACCTAGACTACCTGGTAAAAGGAAGTGTGAGACCCAACACGTGTGCACACCCCGCAAGCCCTTGGAACAAATACATCCATAACCCAAATACATCCAAAACTCAAATACATCCAAAACTGAGAAACGAGGGTCTCGAGGATCGACCCCACGTTGCGCCAGACCGCTTTAGTAATGGGACAAAGCCATCGCGCAACACCGGCGCGTGTACCCACGATGGCGATACAACAACGCTTCATGAACACACCTACGCGCGAAAAAAACGAACGGGCGCACGAACATGCCCACTCAAAACTAACGGGTACTGTTGAGCGTCACCCGTTCAAATCACCAACCTGTGGAGACACAAAATCAAACACGTACATGAGTGTATCAGGTCCGCCGAACCAAGCGAAACACTCCATACTATAATTCCGCGATGCCTCTCCCCGAGGGGAAACCACCAAGCACGTCGAGGTTGGGCGTTCCGCGCCATCACGGCTGCCCCCCCGGTGGCCGCATGCTCTTGGCCCTCGTCTTCACAGTGTAGCGGACACGCCACCCTTCTCCACGTCAAGGACGACTGTACGGCGGAACGACTGCGAGGTCGGGGGGAAGGGTGGGTCGAGAGAGCGCATGTTGAGCCAAATAAGGAGGTGGGGGGCGATGAGGAGCAGCGGACCCCGCCGCAACATACACAGGCATCTCACCATTCACTCAAGAACCGTAAACCCAGACAACATTACCAATTACGTCTGTCGCCGTCGGCGTCACTGTCGGCATCGACGAAATGGCCAAGCAGCAGAAGGAAGCGAACGCGAAACAAGCCGCTGTACGAAGCGAAAATGTGCCCCCGGAAGCGTTTCCCCATTGTTGTTGTTGTTGTTGTTGTTGTTGTTGTTGTTGTTGTTGTTGTTGTCTTCATAATAAAAACCGTTCCGATCTCTCTCTACCCAGTACCTTCGTATGTCCGTACTGATCCAACACTCGACGCGGTCGATTCCCGTGGTCGCAGGCTAACTTACCCTGAAAAGGTACACTCGAATAAAATGGCCCCGAGGGGCCCGCAAGTCAAAAGAAATCAACGACAGATATCCTGGAGTCCTCCACTACCTCTGCGCGCTATGCGAGGTAGCAACTGAGACTAGGAGTCACCATCACGGGCCAGAGACAATGAGGTATACCCCTTGGTTCAATCTTGGTACTTCACAACGCAAGCAGAGACAAGGCCATCTGGCACAGAAAAAGAGAGAACAAGAAAAAAAGAGAAAATAAAAGGAAACAGTACAAGGAAAGAGAAAATGAAAAAAAAAGAGCGAGGACAAAAAGGGACCAGGCCGAAAATAACAAGAAATAAAAAACAGAAAAAGGCATACGGTGGAGAGAACCCATACAAAGAGCCGGATCCTCAAACCCCACGGCCCACGCCCTTGAAAGCACGATCCTATGCGTTGCCTGGTCCGTGTCATCTTGTGCTGTGTTCCGGCGGACGGTAAGGCGCACTTGATTTACTCGGGGGTTCTCGTCAACCGTCCTTGTACGAAACCTTAACCCTCCTAGTACCCAGTCCTCCGCAAAAAAAAAATGTCGTAAAAATGTTTGTCAGCCATTGGTCGAGGGGCTACAGTCCCCCCAACACACGTGGGCATACTGTTCATACTGAAGCCAATTCAGCAAACTTGGAGCCTAGGGTGGCTACGGTGCAGTAAATAGGCCTTTGAGTGCTGTGTCCCCAAAGTGTCCCCATTAGGGCTTGCAATACTAGGAGGGTTAAAACAACCCAGATGTGCCAAAGTCAATCTTCTGCCTTCCGGAGCATGAATTACCCGTTTTCGGTGCTTCGGCCCTACTCAACTATCCGTATCGCAAGCCTGACCTTGGGGTCTTTTCGGTCTCCCAGGAAATCCATAACGCCTCCGCCGCCGCCGCCACCGGCACCGCCGCCTGTACCCAAGCCGCCACCCTCTGCCGATATCAGCCGCTCCCGTTCCGCCTCCAGGCGCTTCCGAGGGACGAAGCCCATCGTCGGGTACAGCGTTCTGCTCCCGTTCGGTGGTGTGGGTGCGTCCGACGACGGCGAGAGAAGAAAAGGCGGCAGAGGCGTCGTCACGGGAGACACGGGCAGTGAGGGAGAGGAACAAGAGGCCACACTCAAACGAACGATGCACGGGAAGAGAGAGCGGGGGACTCAGCACAAAAACAGATAGAACTATACCATTGCATGGAATGAACTAACACAACTACGCAGACTAGGGGACGAAACAAACAGCGCACGAAGGCCAGGTCAAGAGCAAGCTCAAGCTTGCCAGCGTGTGTTCTACAAAAAACACGCACGCACCAGCATCGTCTGTGTTGCAGCTAACAAGCACGCACCTTCTGACTGCCTCGTAGATGACGATGCAGAGGGCGCCGACAAGCGGAGCCGTCGCCACGATCGGGTTGAACGGCCTTGCGTACAGGACGAAGCGCACCCCCGGACAGTTGATGACGAACATTGAAAAACAGAAACTTATGAAGCATGCCACGTAAGTCCTCTTGTTGCTGCGACGAGGTACAGCAGACGCGGCGGAAAACAAGGGAGCACGGAGGGTCAGAGTTGTACGGCAACGGCTGAGGTCGAGGAGACGTACCAACAACACGTCTCTTCTGACCGTGTGTCATGGCGCACTGCTGTAGTGGACCAGCCGATGCGTCCAACCGTCGACATGCGAGAAAGACAAAACAAAGAACGGCCTGAATATGGAAAAACAAACATAGATGGCTCGATCTCTCACATGAGGAAGCGCGAGCCCCACGGCAGCCCTTTCCGGAACTTGCACACGTGCGCGGTGGCGATCTGGCACATTACCACGGAAACGAAGTATGCGCTCTGCGCCTTGTACAGTGCCTCCATCTGAGCGCTATCGGTGAGAACAAGACCAGTACACGTCTGGTTCGCGTATTCGTCGTTCGCGCACAGGGACGGCGATGGTCGAGAGGGGGAAAAAGGGAAAAAAATCGGAAAAAAAAAAAAACGACACGAGAACAACAGGCGACCTCCCTCAACTACAAATGCAAGGCCTGCGTAGTGTTGGTAGGTGCCCGATAATCGAGGAGGCAGCCATGACCACACCCGGGCCGTAAACCGTCGCTCCAACAAAGAAAAACGACCAAGGCAGAACAGACCGCCAAGAGACAAGACAAAATAATAAGTCCGTCGAGCTGGTGGGATCTATCTCACCACGAAATTTTCCGCGCCGTCGTCGAAGTACCCTTCCTCCGAGGACCAGAGAAGGTCTGATGGGCAGATCCCCCTGAGGTACATCTCCCAGAAATACGCCGATAGACCGGCTACTGAAGTGATCACACCGATCTGCGTTTCAACAGGGAAATCGGGCGGATGCCAGCAGCAAGGGCAGGGGGCGATGCCGTCGGAGTGCGGCCGCTTCTTTATGCGTTTACAAGTGTCGGGAAGCTTCTCCATGAGGAAATCGTTTGCTGCAGGTTGCATGCGGTAAAGCCTTGTCGGAGTCAGGGCGAGCGAGCGAGAGGAGTGTTGAACGCGCCGTAATGCTACAGCTGCACACACACGCAAATGAAATGCGTGTACATACCACAGCAAGAAGACACCGAAAGAGCCCACCCCAACCATCATTCGGGATCCGACCACTCCGGCACAGAAACTCGCCGCTGTGCCCGACACACAGTATACCGAGCGACAATGACAACGATAATCCCGGCGGCGAACAAATAATAGCCACCGGCAACAACCCCAACAGAAACATCCACCACTATCCCCCCAAGAACGGTGGTGTACCCACCTGCAAGTAGCTCCACGCAAAGACGAAGCTGTCGACGAGAACCTCGTCCTCCTCGTTCCTTCCCACCACCGACATCTGCGTCGGCTTGAACCAGAACAGCCCGAGGCGGTGGGCGACCGCCTGGTGCTCGGGCGCCAGCACATCAACCTCTTCGACCTAATTTGTTTGGAGCAGAAGTGGTCAGCTCGTGGTGTTGGCGTGTTGATGAACGGGGGGTGAAGATCGAACAACGGCAGTAGAGGCGGCGACAGGGACGACACCAAAAGCAGAAGCAATCAACAGACATATCTACGTGGCAATAAAAACTTCCGCCCGCCCGCCTCAGCCGAACATGAACGACAAGGGACGACACACCGATACCAAGCGACAAGACAGAGCACGTGAGCGCTTCGCTTACGCCACAAACCCCCACTACGCTGCCAGCGTCGCCGGAGCCCCCGCCGCCACTGTCGCACATACCGCATCTTAAACTAAGCAAAAAAATGGCGACCGCTGTCATCTTCACGTACCTCGAAGTCCTTGATCCGCGACAGCCCCTCCATCTCGCTCCTATCCGCTACCACGGGAGGCGCCAGCGGTTTCACGAATCTTCTCGGAGCCGTTTCCATTATGTCATCCTGTGCATACAGCGCGAGCCCCAAGAAAGGGGCAGAAACACACAGACAGCAAATTAGTATGGCAAGAACACGCGGGTAAGGGATGGACCGCGGGAGGAAGAGCAAGACTGAAGCGGGAAAAGGCGCATGTGCGACAAAAACAACATCTATATATTCAGCCGCTATTATTTCTCGAACATGTCGTTCACACAAATGACATGGATGGATACATGCTTACGGGTTGTTCACCCCCCGGTCGCCTCCGAGGTCCAAACATAGTTACACTACCCTGAAGGCTCTCATTTTTCCATGCCAAAGACGCAGCAAAAGACAAACGAGCGTCTAGGCTCCAGAACAACTAATGGCCCTCAAGGGTTCATCAAGAAAGCGTTGGGGTAACTTCCACAAGAATAAAAAGGAGGAGTATCACGCCAGATTTTGGCACATTTGTATATATATGTCGCATGCGGCTTGAACTCCTTCATACCTCTGCTGCCTCCCAGGCGAAGGACAGAGCAGGCCCGATCTCCGTTCCGAGATCGATGCAAAGGATGAGGAAACTGTTGATGGCCGCCGGGATGCTGAGCGAAACGTACAGGAGGAAGGGTATCACCTGCGCCAAACGCCATGCACGAACGGCGAAAACAAAACGAAATACGAAATATGAAAAATACGACAAAGCGCGACATCACAACGCCAGCGGTGAGGTGATACAGCCAGCCCTGAGCAGCGTGGTGCGCAATCGCACCCCCGTGGGAAGGAGGAGTGAATATTATTGAGCTTGTAACATGTCTTGAAGTAACATGTCCTCGTAACAATGTGTTTTGGTTCAAGGGCGAGGGGGCATTTCACTCCATACGGGGCAGGAAGATGGATTTTCCAGGCACGACAATAGAGACCAAAACGAGCCAACGTCCCAACATATGCCGGCAGTGCTGACGCAACCTGTTTCGACAAAAACGCCGCCAACAAACGTATACCTGGAGAGCAGAAAAAACATCAGGTTCCGAGGTTCCGCCTTCCCCTGGACCAAACAAAAGGAGAAAAGTGTACCCCATGAGGTGGAGACTTGAGCGTGTTCGACACGCAAGCGCCATACGCAACAAATGAAAACGGGCGACTTTCGCTGGATAGACTTGGGCGTGTTCGTACCGTGACACCACACTTCGAGACGGCGACCACGCCGACTCACCTCCGGCACGATGTGGCAAAGGGTGTACATGATGCTCTTCTTGAGGTTATTAAACACCAGCCGGCCCTCTCGGATGCCCCTCACCACGCTAGCGAAGTTGTCGTCCAGCAGGATGATGGACGCCGCCTGTTATCATTCCGCCGGGATAAACCCACGCGCGTACGGGAAACGGCCACAGCGGTAAGCACGAAAAACAAGAATTTGAGGGGAGAGCGAGGGGTGTTCGGAGACAGGAAGGAGCACGACTGACACGACAAACGACTTTCACGAAATGGCTGCGCATGCACTGTACCGGTATTACACGCACACGCATGAACACAACACGTACACAGGTTCCATACGCACAGATGCAACCCAGTGACTCGCGAGGACAGCTGCACGGCACGCCGGGAGAAAAGAAGCTTTTCGGCAAAACGGGGCGAGGGGGGGGCGAACGCAGAAACAAAAAAAGCTCCATTCACCTCCTTGGAGACGTCGGAGCCAGTAAGTGCCATAGCGATCCCCATGTCGGAGCGCTTCAGGGCAGGGGAGTCGTTCACTCCGTCTCCGGTAACGCTAACGATGTGTCCGAGAGCCTGAGGGTACAGCACGCCCGAACGGACGGAAACAAGAGTGAACGAAGGGTGAAGCACCATTACATTTATCAAAACGCCAGGGCACACGCACATACACGAGCGTCAACAGCAGGAAGACCTACACAAGCCAGCGACGAGAGAACACGAAGCGCGCGCCCACCCAGAGAAGAAAGTCAAAATAAGTACTTCTAGTCAACAAGACAGACACACCCTTGCTGAGCGGGCGACCTCGTACAAGTAAAAGGGTTGTTGGTTGTTGAAAGTTCCGAGTTCTGCCGGAGTGACTTATGCAACAAAGCCGTTCTATCGGCAGTCCAACTAAGGGCACCTACAAACACGGCAGAGGCAAAATTCCAAGATACCCACCCTCAGCCAACTGCTCGGAAGCGCGCCCGCCGCGTACACAACAAATCCGCTCCAGCACACAAGCCCGTGAGCAAGTTAGTACTTCTATAACGCATACCGTGCGCATGCACCTGGAATCGAGTGACGATCTCCAGCTTGTGCTGCGGGGTGGTGCGTGCGAAGACGATCTCCTTCTTCGATAGGGTGCGATCCCTGTCGACAAAGAAGAAAAAAAGAGGGAAAAAGTACTGTACAGCGGGACAAGGTTTAATTTCATTTCATATCGAAGAAACCGCTCATCAACAATGAACATGACCAAAAGTCAGCAGGGCCCCCCGACGGTCTCCACCGATCACGTCCGAGGTCTTCGATACTGGCGTCTGCAACACGCCGACCAGACGCGATGAATTTTGCCCGGATCTCAATGGTGAAAGGCAAAACATGCTGCTGCCGTCCAGGGCAGACAAAAGTGACCAGACGCGACGCATTGTAATCCCGGACACCAATGGTCAAGGCAACACAGGCCTCGGCCGTCCGTTCAGGACAGACAAAACAACCACACATCAGGACATCCGACCGGTTCAAGTTTTCGCTGGCTGCTGCCTGAGAACCCGTGTGGCATAGGTCAAGCAACGCTTATGAATCCCTTCCCAACTCACACCAACGACAACGAACAACGAACAATCTAGCCGACCTTGTCCTTTTCACCGCCTTTCACCCACAGAACGTGTGAAGCTACAGTGACTGGAGGTGTCGCCGAAAGTGAAGTGAGGAAGACGAACTTGTACTGCTTTTCTCAAGTGTGTCATGTGGAACGCAAACTGCCGTCCAAAGTACACAAAAATCTCCTGTGTATACTTGGAGAACAGCTCTTGCGTTCCACGTGCCCCAGAGAGTAGAAAGAGTGAGATGTTTCGTCTTTCCCGCCTTCACTCCTCCGCCGGCGACGTCGTCCAAAACCAAATCTGCCAAGCTTTGTGGCTAAAACATGGTGATCGGCAAACGTTGTGAGTGAAACTGGTTGGGAGAGGAATGAATCCAGTCACGTACGCAAACTGGCCATCATGCGTTGAGTGCATAACTTGGTAGCGACGGATGCAAGAGTGTATCGTAAGCGCGATTGCTAAAACCAGCCACATAATTCAACTTTCAGCACTTGTAGCCTTCAAAATAGAGGCGCTCGAAAAACGTTCCCGTTCGTGCACTGGTCCAAGACACTAACGTTTCACTGGCTCTACCGGAGGTCCAGCCCAAAAACGCAACACCTGTTCGGGAAAAAATCACTAATCAACACTACGGTGAGTGCACGCCTCCACGGTCCCAAACAAGCGTGTCACTCCTGACGGACTCCTTTCAAACTCACATTAACTCCCTTCATACCGGAAGTGGTTCAAGTTAGAAGCAGTTTTTGTCCTCCCATATCTCCATCGGCCGACATTTCACTCCATCTCCCGGCCGAAAGACGTGTCAAATTCATTTCGAATTCACTCGATCGTTTCTTGACACTGTTTGGAGCTTCCTCAAAACTCACGCCACCCTACACAGACTGACGTCAAGAAGAATTTCACTCCATTCACTCTATTCACTCGACCCACCGGGCTTACTATGTCGAATTGGGTATTTCATACCAATACATAGCAATATCGCAAAGCGCGCGTCAGATGATGTGAAGGTACCTAGAAACATCACCACCCCTCCAACTTCCACTGAAACAAAGGAAAGTCTTGACTCAAAAACACCTTGGCTGCCTGCACAAAAGGTACCGAGCAGATGCTATGCTTCGAACGAAAGAAGAACGGGAGCGACAGTTCGTCTTGCACGAAACCTCCGCACCCGATACTGTCTGGGTTGGACGCTGCTCAGCGGGACACGAGCTTGTACGCGACGGAGGCAACTACAACGCATACACAATCCAAACGCGCACCAAGAGCTTAGAGCAACTCACATCTTACGATCCTTCGGTTCCATAGTCATCATCACCATCGCTTTGGTCCGAAGGCAAAAATATAACGACGTTGGCGGGGAGCCCTACCACTCACCATTCCTCGGGTGTGAGGTCGTCGATCTGGTCCCCGTGCAAGATGGCGCAGTCATAGTCATCCTCGCCCACCTTTGACAAGCCACGAACAATCGAAAAGCGGCGAAAACGAGCAATTTCCAGCGGGTGCAGGGAGCATAGGGACAAGCACCAGGGGTGGGAACGTCACCGCAAGAATCAGCGAGATAAAAAACGAACAGCACATGGCACAAGGCACTCATACGACAACGTTGTGGCCAGCAACATACGGCTATCTGCAACAAACGACAGGGGGATAGGGTAACACGCCAAAGAATAAACAAGTGAGCTATCGCACAGACACCAACAACACTTCTATTTGAGGGTACGGTTTCAGCGAAATACCACTCGAAAAAAGCCAAAGCGAAAACAGGCGGCAATGATGACGGCCAACACAGGCAGACAACAGCAAAAACCACCAACGTCCTGCACTGCACGAGATGCCGCGTGCCAAGACACCCACCTCCGCTTCGGACACCATTAGTCTCGCCGCGACCGCTGCCTTAGACGCCCCCTTGATGATGCCCACCTAAACATTGTTTCGCGATGTTTCGTGAGATTGGTATTCAACAAATGGGGTGGTATAAAGTGATGCACAACCTGTCGCAAAAACGAGACCAAACACGCCGCAGTCCATCTGGCCAACAGCAACAAAACCTTGGTCAAACTCACACGACCAAACAGCAACAGCAACAACGACAACAACAACAACAGCAACCACAACAACAGCCACAACACCTGTCGAGCGATAGCCTCCGCCGTCAGCGGATGGTCCCCAGTGACCATCACCACCTGCACCCCCGCCGCGTTGCACTCCTCGATGGCCTCCCGCACCCCCGGCTTGGGTGGATCGCGCAGCCCCACCAGGCCAATGAAAGACCAACCTGACAAATTACCGTACCATTCATTCCAATCCACCGATCCGCGAACGCAAGCACGTGGCATCAGAAGCGAGCGAGTAGGGTACAAGCAGGTCGTAGGTTAGCGGTCAAAAACCACGCCGGTGCTTTCAAATAAAACCATCTGCATGCCACTTAACTAACGGCCAGGCACCGTGGAGAGGTGAAGAGAGAACGGTCAAACGCGGGGAGGGGCAGCCACGACACGCCCGTGCAAGACCGAACCCCTTATCTTCGAAAACGGGGGGAGGGGGGAGAGTCTGCAACCGATGCTACGACACGTACGTACAACATCCAACGTCTATCCAAAGCCAAAGCCACTGTCTGCATGTGCGATAAACGCGTTATTACGCCATGACAAGCTACGGTGAGCCAACTGCAGACCTTGACAAGCTGTGGCGTCAGTCATCTTCACAGCGATGAGATTTATCCGAGCAGTGCGAAGTGAGATCAACTCATATTCGATGACACACCGACGCAGACGACAAGCTGGTGTGAGCCTGCTACACTTCTGCTACGATATGATGCGCACGAGAGGCTACCCTAAGTTATACTTAACACGCCTTCACAAGCGCTATTGGCGGTGTCTTCGCAACGATGGCATTTCTCTCAGCAGTGACGAACGACACGAGTGAGATGACTTCATATTCCATCTCATACCCGCCCATACGATAAGCTACTACACAACTATTCAGTGGTGGTCTCTTTTTGGTGCCGGTGGAATAGTGCCAATGCCCGGTGTTTTCGGCGGGCACACACTGAACTTCCAAGCCATCGTCAGTGCTTTGAGTAGGAAGACGCCGGTGAATCTGTTGGGCACATACCGGCACGACAGACTGCACGAGCGAGACGACTTCGTATTTCCATCTCATACCCACGCACATAGCAAGCTACTACGCACCTTCTTGCGGGAAGTTGGCGTCGTCGAACTCGAAGTCCTCCGGGAACTCCGCCCCGTCCAGCGGCATCATCGCGCAGGCCAGCACCCTCTCGCCGCGGCCGGCCAGCTCCTCGTAGGCCGCCTGGTAGCTCAGCTCGAACGCGCGGTCCAGGGCAACGAAAGGGGCGTCCTCCGCCTGGCCCCTGCCTAGGGCCGAGGAGCACTTGGCCAGCACCCTTTGTTGGAGAACGCACAAGGTAACGCGGCCGCGTGTTGGCGAAGATGACATGAGAGGCAGGTAGGCGAAAATGATGGCAGACAGGTGAGCACCCAAACTTGAGCCCGAGAGATGGGAACGTCGGTGTTGCTGCATGATACAAGCCTGCAGTATTAAACGTTTCTCGGCCTTGCTGGCAATCCTAATTAAATAATGTCACTCTTCCCAGGCCGTACCTCGATCCAAGTGCTATTTTGTCCTGGGGGGGAGAGAGCGTTTTGTCGACGAGGCAACCCCCCAACCGCTGGAGTTCGTCTGCTGTCCATCCACACGCTATGAAGCAGCTAATTTTACGGGACAAAACGCGACCACCACGGTGGAGAAGGAGCCGACAAAAAACGGAAAACGCCTCTCTTCACCTTTCGGGGGCTCCCTTGGCGAAGAGCGTCAGCGCCCCCTTGGAGTGCGGCTTGCGGTGGATCGAGAGCGACCACTTTCGCCCAGAGTCGAACGGCAGGTCCATCACCTGCCGGGTGTCGTTCGCCGAATTTCATTATCAAAAGCTTGCTCGATGAACGGCGGAGTGCTTCCACCAAAATTGTCGGCATGAAAACTTCAGGAGTGTCATCAGTTCATAGGGCATGGAGTTGAACCAAAACCTAACCGCGTGTGCGCAAAACTGCAGGTGTCATTTTGCGTGCATGCAGATCGATTTCGCCGCCAACATAGGCAAAAAAAAAACACTGGTTCTCAAGAACATTGAGTTGTGAAACACGCTGAGTGCATGCGTAGATCAGTTCACGACCTACGAGAGACAGAAACGAATAGTTGTTGAAGCATCGTGCCTGGCCACGAAGCCTTTCCGAGAAGAACGTTCTCGCGAATGGGCGTTGAACGCCCAAGGTGCTGCTGATTTCGGCTGCTGGTTGTTGGTTCGTTACGATCAAACTCAAACCTTGGGGTACTGGTCTCTGAAGGCGTCGACGTCCTCGTTGCCCAGCAGCCTGAAGGCCGCGAACCTGACCAGGCCGCTCTCGGTGGCATCGCCGATAATCTTAGACTCCGCCCCGAACCCTTCCACCTGCCCGCCCGTGAACCTCGCTGTCGAGTTGAGAAGGAAGCACTACACGGTCCGCGAGGGGTTTTCGATTGAATTTTTCGAAAAAAAGCGGTGGCAACAGCGCGGAGGATGCCGCGGCAGCAGTGAGTGAGGTCATCGCCAGTGAATATGCAGAGCGGGAGCGGCAACTAGGGCAGCGGTGAACAGCAAGCGACACTGCTGACTCCCGGGTCTCAACATCTCCCGCAGGCGACCACAAAAGTCGGGCTAGGACTCCCTCCAATACAACGGTACACCGACAAGAGGAAACAACCAGCACAACAAAAGGGAACATGGCCTACCGGCACAGAGCGCATCTTAGTCTGTATTCAAAGTGTCCTTTACCTCCATCATCGCTAAGGCGTTTGGCGTGTCTCTGATGTCGAACTCCTGTTGATTGGGCGAGGGGGGGGGGGGGGGGGG